TTCCTTCACATTTCCCTCAGTACTTGAACCTGTTGAAACTGAAACTGTTTCCTGATGATGTTCCAAAACACGTTCAAAATCAGAAAAAATAGCCAGATCATCATCGCCCAGGCCTGAGATTCCAGTCTCTGTATTTTCCAGGCTGTAGTCAAGCCACAAAAGCTTATGCCTCCCAAACACATCCAGCAAATACTGTATATCCTGTGTTGTCATATAGGCCTGTATCTTTTTAAATTCCTTAAAGATCTTTGCATCCTTGGTGGTCTGCGCAGCACAGTGTGGGACATCCTGGAGTTCAGCCTCATGGCGGAGATGTTTTGAAGACTGGATTGAGGATTCATGCACTACTTCTTGATCCCTCATTGAAAGTGATGCTTCAGTGCCTTCAGTGCGTTGTTCCGGAATTAAAACCTCATTGTCTTTCGAGGTTTCTTTGGAAATTGTATTTTTGCTGGTTTCATCCCAGTGGTTATTTTTAGACTTGGCTCCTGAGTGGGTCATATCCTTTTCTTCAGAGGCTATGGCGTGGAGATCTTCATCTTTGTTCATTTGGGTATGCGACCTATCCATCCCTTCTCGATTGGAATAAGCAGCTAGTGTATCTTTCAAATCACTTAAAGCTTCTCCTTCAAAAGTTAACTTGCTGTCCTCCCTGTGGAGTTTGCCATCTTGTGCTCTTTGATCTAATATCGATGGTCTCTCAACATGACTTGGCTCGTGTATTACTGTATCTAAAAGACCTGTGCCTCCTGAAAGTACCCCACCTTGACCTGGCTCTCTTGTTTCCCTCTGTCTTTCACCCTGCTGGTCACGAACAGCTGTTTTACAACCACCCCACTTGCTATCCCTATCAATACAGCCTTCCTCACTTCCATCCTTGCTGGGAAACAACTGCTCGCCATTAAAGAAGCTTTTCTCATTGTAAATGGATCCATCCTCAGCTACACCAAGGGACTGAGTATCTGAACTCAAGACATTAAAGTTACCTTCTCCAGTCTTTTCACGTCCCTCCCTGCTGCGAATTGGTAAGGAGCAGTCAAGATTTTTATCATCAAGGCCCTTTGGAGCCGGCTGTACCAAAGGCAACACATCATTCAAAACTTTGCCTTGCTGTGACTGTACCTCGATCCCATCTTCAGTTGTTTGCACATTTGGGGATGGCACAGAATCACCCATCTCTATCAGAGGGTCTGCTGTTGTGTCTCCTGAATGTGCCTGGGTCGGTACCTCAGCTTTCTGCTTCTCTTCATTAGCTTTGTCTGCACTCTCTTTTATCACGATGCTCTTAGTTGTACCCTGCTGCTGTTCTGTGCTTAAAGGCTGCTTAATCAGGGTTGTTTCCTGACTTTCATCGCCTCTGGATTTTAACCCTAGATCTAATGCTAGTTGCACGTTGTCTATAGAGTTTTTTACATGTTCACCAGCATCATCATCAACTGGCAGCACCTCTCCTTCAGAAATAACCGTATCTTCAAGGTCAGCCCTGGGCTCTGACAATGGACCTTGATTATAGTGTGTGGTCCTTACATCCGACACATTTAGGGAATATAAATCATGCTGAATATCATCTCTGGAATCCTTCTCTGGATG